CCGCCCCGCGCCCCGCGCCGCCGCCCCGCTGTACGCGGAGCCGTACGAGCCGCGGCCGCGGGCGGGCGCGCTGGGCGTGCTGCGGCGCGCGCTCCGCAGGGCTCGGCCGGCGGCGCGGCTCTCACGCACCATCTACAACCTGCTGCAGGGCGGCCGCGACAGGCCGCTCTCTACCGTCGTGTACAGCGACCGGCTGCTGCGCTACGGGCTGCCGCTGCCGGTGCGCGTGGGGCGGCGCCGCCTGTGGGACGAGCTCGGCCGCGGCGCCGTCACGGAGCGTCGCGCCGCCGGGCCCCGCGCCGCGCACGTCCTGTCCCTCCCGCCGGTACCGCGACTCGCCCCCCGCGCCGGGCCCCTGCTGGGTATCCCTTCTCCCAACGGTTGTACAAAGTATTATCCGCGACGACAATTTCGATTTAGATCTTCTCGAAGACGAATCTTCATCCTGCCGGCCGATTGTCATTTCTTGGAATCGATCCTGTGGGAGGGCGAATCGGTTCACCGCTCTCTTGACTACCGGCAGCCCGCGGGTGGCGTCGAGCCCTGCCGCCCGCGCCCGGTCGCTCTGAAGCGGCTCTCTCGGATGTCTTCGGCCTGCGGCTCCGCGCTGGAGGAGCCGGACGAAGGGGGGATCCGGCCCCAGTTCGCGATGCCGGACGACGAGAGGGCGGCGGGCGGGGCGGGCGGGGAGGAGGAGGGGAGCGAGGGGGAGGCGGCGGAGCTGACGTACGAGGCGCTAGTGAAGCCCTCCCCGCGGGTCAGCGTCATCAATTTGTCGGAGCGGCAGAACAACAAGGAGGCGTGGCGGCCGCTGGAGCGCAAGGTCCTGAACACGGCGCGCGAGGGGGCGGGGGCGGGGGGGCGCGGGGCGCGGCTGCAGCGGGCCACGCTGCGCGCGCTGCTCTCCTTCTCGGGGCTCTTCTACACGGTCGCCTTCCTCACCTTCTACTTCCTGAGCTTGCCGTGAGGGGGCGCCAGTAGACGCGTCGACGCGATGACGGGCACATCAGACTCACACTTCGTCTCCTGTATTACTGTAATTATTGTACTTGTATTTTTTAAATTCTAATATCGATAAAATCGAATTAATAAATCATTGAAAAAATTATTTTATAATATTTTATATCCTTGTAGTTTTTTCATCAATACTGTATTGTACAGTGTAATGTTGATACAAAAATGATAATTATTTTTAATTCGCCAATTATATTATTATATAGTTTCCGCTTTTGTTAATTTCCAGTCTGTGTCAAAATGTATAATTGTTAATAGTTTTTCAGTGTATATGTATATTTTTAGAGTTACTCAAGTGTTTATTATAGTAATTAAAGTTAAATAAAGGTGTTATGCAATGCATGTTGTTTAATTTTAATTTTCATAAAGAGAGCTGGAGACACCATCATTGTGAAGAATATTGTCAAAACCTTGAATTTTAAGATAAGCTTCCTTGAAGACAAATTTTGAACAACGACATTCGGATCGTCGGTGTAGCGAGCGATTCAGTCGCTCTTCCCTTAGTCTTATTTTCAACCTTGATCGTAGATAAGAGCAAAAAACGTCTGCATCGAAAGACAGGGAAATCGATGAAAAATCGATTTTCACACGAATCGATTATTTTTTCTGATTATTTCTTCGTTCACTAGAGTGAATAGAGATCTCACTCTCTCTCAATCGGTCTCGATCGCTCTCTCCCTCTTCTACAAACATTCCCACATATAATATCACTAATATTATTGTTATTGCGTTTCATCCGTAAACATTTACTCTCACACGCGCCAAAAAATATCACTTTAAAAATCCATCCAGATGTGGCATTACCTTTATCAAAAACATGAAATTAAATCAACAAAAGCTCGAATTTGAACTTCAGAAACGATGATAATCTAGTCCTATTCTGAATCATCTGTTTCAGCTAGAGCGGCTGCTAACGCACAAGACGTATGGCAAATACACCATGAAAAATGGCAGCTAACATATCAATTGCTAAAAATACAGAATTTGGGGCACTGTTATCCAATTTCAAGGCAGATCCTCTCGATGCATGGTCTAAAGGGACTTTCCCTAAGCTCACCGACTTGCCTCTCAAACGCTTCTTTGTAATAACGACTTCTGCACCAGATGAAAGATTATTTTCTTAAGCGTAAAGAGATGCTGTCAGGGAAACATGAAATCTTATTCTGGGAAAGACATTACCAAAATCATTGTTTTTAAACTGTCTAACTGAAAACTTATGACAACAATTCTAATAAGTTTTCTTTTTCTTTACTAAAATAATGAAGAAAGAAAGATTTATAAGTTTTTTAATTTTGAGACCAGAAGTTTATCGTTTTTTTCTCTTATTTTATTATGAGCTTTTTTATTGTTTAAACTTTATCAAGGTCACTTTTTTGTAGTGATTATTGTTTAATTTTATTGTTGTTCTAGTAAAATGATAGATAAGAATAGATCTCTGTTAATAATTCGCATTTATTTAGTCTTAGACTTTTATTGTTCGAATTAAACATTAAAATAAAAACTTGTGTTGTATATTATTTTGTTTTAGTTCTAATGTTTATTACTTAGTAGGTGAGGTATTTTTTACTGAAATTATATTTTTAATAACGCTAATGCATATTTCACAAAGCATTGTTTTTTTTTTCTCTAAATTTATATTGATATTTGTAGTTTTCCAATTACAGCACAAGAGCGCATTATGCGGCATAATGCTCAACGTTAAATGTTCCAACTACAGCAACGCTTCGCACAATCGAGCACTCTCAAAAGTACTGCTCTCGCGTGATACTCGCAATCGATACCGACTCAGTGACAGAAAATTGACAAGTGTTTTTTCTTTAAGTTGGCATTGATCGAAATTTTGTTTATATTATAGTTAGTAATATTATTTAATGTTGAAAAAAAATTGTAAGGCTTTCGTTTCGTCGTAGTTTCTTAGAAATAATCAATGTTAATTAAAACTGTGCTAACTTAGCGCACTCTGCTGATACATTTGAAAATTAATTCACGTTCCAATTAAGCTTCAGCATAATTCGGCATTGTGCGTCACTGAGTCGCATTATACTCTGTAATTGGAAAACTACCATTCTGACTATCTGGAGAATAACCTGAGAATCGTCGGTTATTCAATAAAATCTCCGCAAGCAAAACCTACGGAGGCTAAATCTACCTCTGGTATATAGGTATACTATACACTATACACATATTGTGTATAGACAGACTCAAATTACCGTGCATTACATTTAATAACTACAGTACAATTACCATGTAAAATATAAGAAAAACCTACTTTGGAAAAAATACAATAGTATTAAATCAAATATAAAAAGCTTTTTAATATTGGATAATATAAATATGATCATTAAGCGCCTATATAAAATATGCTTATTCTATTAATCGTATGAAGAAAACTTTTCGTTTTCACGTAAATCTGTTTTATTTAATGATTATTTAATTTAGCCTTTATGGAAAAAATCAAAAAATCACACAACTTTAACATGAACGCTCTCAAATATATTAAGCGTATAATCTATGCTGAACGCCACTAGTTGTAGCTTTACTATAGATAGACTGTGTTGTAAGTTAGACATGTGTAAGTAATGCGAGTGATATTACTCCGGTAATATTACTCTACGATGTAATGCAACATCACACATTACGCGAAGGAAACAAACATCACACTATCACCCACAGAACACTATTACTTCTAGCGAAGCTATCACCCAACATGTTTCTTTCTTTGTCGTGTAATGTTGCTTATTACACGAACGGAACCGAGCGAGCGAGACAGACCGATCGATGCTGCAAAGTAAATGAGTAAGCGACACGGAATTATTTCTAGTGATTTTGAACCGTATGCCCTGGCCGCTAGGTACATTTTTATACCAATGGTACGTCTGAATTTGAATATAGGTGTTTATATTTTTCATGCGGGCAGCCGGTAGTTCCCCGCAATTAATTACTTAATTTTTTATTCCCAACTTTTGTAAAATCGCTAGTCGCTCGGGATTGTTTAGTAATATTTCATATTAATTTTTGTGTTTAAATTACTTAAGCACTTGTTCGAAGATAGTTTTATTATTTGTTTTAATGCGTGTTTAGTGAAAGAAAGAATGGCGTCTAAATGAAAGTACAGTCCTCTTTGGATACATTTTGAGGAGACCGTGCCGAAACAATGCATCTACTGCTCTCGTATATTAACATTATCGTCGAGCTCAATTTGCAGTCTAAGTCGCCATATGAAATCCGTTCATCCCACAATAAATTATATTAAGTAAAAAATAAAATTATTATATTATTAAGTCAGTCAATCTCTGTCAAGTAATATAATAGTGTATTACAATACAAAATATGAACACATCACTTAGGTAATGATTCGGGTGTATAGATACAATGTATTCGTCACAGTATCTATTGAACGCACCGAGTAATGTTATGAGTGATGTGTAATGTTTTCGAGTAATATCACCTAGATACAATGTATTTGTCACAGTATCTATTGAACGCACCGAGTAATGTTATGAGTGATGTGTAATGTTTTCGAGTAATATCACCTAGATACAATGTATTTGTCACAGTATCTATTGAACGCACCGAGTAATGTTATGAGTGATGTGTAATGTTTTCGAGTAATATCACCTGTCTGTAAAAGTGATGTCATATCACATTACATTGGGAAGTGATGTTTTGCGCAAGTCTATTGTAAGTCTATCTATTTGTAGTTTGTAGGACAATAATTTATAAGGTCTACCTCGAGAGATAGACCACCAAAAATACTATAGACTCATTTGAGTGTTCCCCTCCACGGAAATCTTTAGTAAAAGGCGAAAGATTTATACGTTTTGAAGGGAAACCAGAGATAAATGAAAATGAAATTGAAAGATTTTTATACTTTGCCGTTACACAAGTAGATAGCGCGGTTCAGAAATACAGACTGCGCCATCTATTGACGTTCAGAGAAAACAAATCTAATTTAGTTGGTTGTAGGAGGGTCCTTATAATATAATACATAATACGAATAATATTTGCGTATTATCACCAGTTACGTGACTCAAATTACTTTAAAACAAATAAAATAAATATGTTCTAAAAATATTAAAAGACAATTTACAATGATCTGACGTATTGGGAGTACATACGTCAACAAAACGCCAGTGTATGGACTATGGAAACGTAAAAACTTCGACAATCCTCGTAAGCATTCGTAGAAGTTCGGGTAGCTATGCAACGCTCGCTATGTAGGTTAAACTGTGACCGGCATTGTACATATTTAGCGCTATTGTTAGTATGAATTTTATGTATCAAAGCTAAAAGTTAAAGGAATTTTAGTTACCTACGAATTGTTTATTTTGAGTACGTACTTGTAGTAACTACATTATTAATTAAAAAAATGTGGGTTATCTTATTTAGATTATGTGTTTAATTTTATATTTGTATATATTTTATTACATTTTTTCTTTGTTATGTATTGTCGTAGTTTATATTATATTAAGCTGCAGTGGGGTCCTCACATATGCAAGTTAGCGAGTAGGCTTAGTTCTGCAGCGTTTGCGGTAAAAAAAATACGAATGTATATTAATGAAGATACGGCACGCCTGGTTTATTTTAGTTATTTTCATAGTGTTATGTCCTATGGCATTTTGCTATGGGGCAATGCTGCCGATGTCGAAACGATTTTCATCCTGCAGNAAATTGAAAGATTTTTATACTTTGCCGTTACACAAGTAGATAGCGCGGTTCAGAAATACAGACTGCGCCATCTATTGACGTTCAGAGAAAACAAATCTAATTTGGTTGTAGGAGGGTCCTTATAATATAATACATAATACAAATAATATTTGCGTAGTGTCACCAGTTACGTGACTCAAATTACATTAAAACAAATAAAATAAATATGTTCTAAAAATATTATAAGATAATTTACAATGATCTGACGTATTGGGAGTACATACGTCAACAAAACGCCAGTGTATGGAAACGTAAAAACTTCGACAATCCTCGTAAGCATTCGTAGAAGTTCGGGTAGCTATGCAACGCTTGCTATGTAGGTTAAACTGTGACCGGCATTGTACATATTTAGCGCTATTGTTAGTATGAATTGTATGCATCAAAGCTAAAAAAAGTTAAAGGGATTTTAGTTACCTACGAATTGTTTATTTTGAGTACCTACATGTAGTAACTACATTATTTATTAAAAAAATGTGGGTTATCTTATTTAGATTATGTGTTTAATTTTTTATTTGTATATATTTTATTACATTTTTACTTTGTTATGTATTGTCGTAGTTTATATTATAATAATAGAAACCCTGTTATTATAATATAAACTTAGTGACTTAAGTAGGTACACAACATAACGTAACAAAGTTAGGTTTTCTAATGAGTGAATTAATAATAAAGAAAACGCGACAGTACAGTGTAAAGTATGTACCTACAACATCCACAATTAAAAAAGTAGTTAATAAAACTTTAATATTGTCAATAGTATTTTTATTAGTTTCACTTTAAAATCTAGTAAACGAATGCCCCACATCTTAAAAACCTCTTGGGTGAGCCTTTGCTCGCCATCGTCAAGTCGCCAACCTGCCCTGGTAAAACTCGAAAGGCCTCCGGGCCACCAGTAACATCTCAAACATAAAAAAAAAACTTATTTATTTGATTTTAATGTTTTTTTTATTCCAAAAAACGTTATGTAAATTGATGTATACATGTTTTTTCATTATACATAATATAAATCCGTAAAATATATAATTATCGATTTTCTTCCTAAAGCTAAGCATTTGAAATTTAATTGGAAAGTGAGGAGCATACACTTTTTACAGTTTTAAGAGTTTTTATTAAGTAACTCACCAATTATTAACTTAAATTAAAATTCATTTACCTACCAAAATAGCGGGCAGATTACATAAATAAGTCAAACATAATATTTTACAAACACTTTCACACAAAATGTTTATAACGTATACCGGCGAAAAGAAAATGATAGTTGTAACATGTAAAAGCGAATAAATAATAGTAGATAAGACGCTAGAAGATAACAAATGTTATTTGGTATTATTTTTATGTACCTAATCGATGAGTTCGCTCGCGCTGTTCTCGGGTGGCTTCGTCGCCGCGTCGCGCGTCTCGTGTGTTCGGGAATTCCGATTGCCCCCGATGATGCCCGAGTGAACAGTTACAGTTTATTATCTCGAATATATTAAGTGTATAATCTATGGTTTATTATTTCCGGCTTTCGAACACTTTACCGGTTTTTGTGATCACCGACGACTTAGATTTTATTCATCGACTGAAGGTAGTTAGCATAAAGTATTCAAAATAATAATCGGGACATTATGCCTTAAGAACATACAATTACGATCTAGATTCTAATTGTATCCTGAAATTATCAACGTCCCTCGTCATTAGGGCAAACTTGACCCTGATAGGAGGGTATTGTCCTGGGGACATTGAGGTCAGTTCTGACGGTGGTTTGATACGGTAGTGGCGAAGGATGGAAGCCAGAGCCGCCTTAGCTGAGTTCATAGCGAACTTAAAGCCTGAAACAAGACGTATTTGTAAGAAACATACAGCTTACTTAGGATACTTTTCTGTTTCCTTTTACTGTTTAGAGACGTTTATTATCGAGTGATGCAACTGTGTTGGTGTTATAATACTGGTGGTGGCATAATACTGACAGAAATCATTTTTTTCTAGTGAAACACGTACTTAACCTACTGCACAGGCTGCTTCACCCTTCAAACCGAGAAGTATTACTGCTTCACGGCAGAAATAGGCAGGGTGGTGGTACCTACCCGTGCGATCTCACAAGACATCCAACCACCACTTATAACAGGCTACAACTTATATTTTGTATTCTCCGTTAATATGTTTTATTTATTTAAAAGATTGATACCATACCTAGACAAGCTCTCGGTCCCTGGCTAAACGTCATGAATGCTGTTGGATGTCTTTTGGTACCATCCAAAAACCGCTCGGGTCTAAATACATCGGCGTCGTCGCCCCAGTACTTAGGATTGCGGTTCACGGACCAGATTGGTATTAAAATCCCAATGTCCCGCGGCAGTATTAATCCGGATGCTGCGAATTGAAATTTTCGATTACGACGGAGACCCTGAATTGTGCGTGGTGGACGCCTAAGAATATCCCAAATCCAAACTTAGCTCATGGGTGCCGTTGAAGGTGGCTAAGAGCCAAAACCTGACCAAATCTAACTCATCCTAGGCTCATGGTCAACAAAAACATTCCCAAGGGGAGTTAACCTCAGGCAGGCGGTCGATCATAAAAAAATTGACAAAACTTAGAGCAACATTTGGGCCGACCCGAGGTGACTGGAAGGGCAGGAAAATGATGATGATGATGGAGACCCTGACTAGAAGCACAGATGAAGGACAATAACAATCGGAGGGAGATCTGTTTGCGACGGTTTTATGCGCAGCTTCTAGACTTAGTACATGAACTCAAACGTACAAAGTGAAGTATCCTAATCTGAGCTCACCGTCAGCAATAGATTAGAAAATGGCTTGCTAGCCCGGCTAATTTTAGGTAGTGGCTGTCACTAAATAGTCGAAAACATTTTTCACCAAGCGAGAACTAAACGAAATTCTGAATGTGGCGCATAGGGTAGGTACATATTGGTCTATGGGTGAGCGTCGATCTTCCTATCAGGGTCGCCAGCCGTTGTTTTGGGTTGAGAAGTTGTTGTGAACGTCACAGTGAGTATTTCTTATGACATTCCTTTAACTCTACCGTTGTAGCAACGTTTGAATATTATATTATAATTGTAGAACCAAATGCATTCACTCTTAGCCTCCACGTTTGGTACCATTTGATCTCATTCTCTATCTTTTTATTAATAATTTTTTTATTTCTTATATCTCTCATCAGCTCACAGCCCACCTGGTTTTAAGAGGTTACCGGAGCCAATATACATCTACAACGTAAATGCCGCCACCCACCTTGAGATATAAGTTCTATGGTTTCAGTATGGTTACAACGGCTGCTCCACCCTTTAAACCGAAACGCATTATGCTTCACGGCTGAAATAGGCAGGGTGGTGGTACCTACCCGCGCGGGCTCACAAGAGGTCCTACCACCAGTATCTAACCGCATAGATATGTACATGTATGATTGTGTATTTTTAGTCTCTTGTCCCATTTTCGTTTCATCAAATTTTTAATCATAAGAGTGCGAAAGCAGTTTTCACTCCAAAAAACAACTGAATAAAAGAATTCTACACCATAAAGTTTAATAATACTAAAATATTTAGTGCATTGGACCATAAACTGGAATCATTTCATGTTCATTAAAACCTGGTGATTTATTAAATAATTATAAAGTTGATGTGGTACTCAGCTCATTATTATTTTGCGCACTATTACAAATTCTTTGCTATACAAAAATGAAATTGATTAAAATAAAAGAAAACAACATACGCAGTTTAGTTTCTCTTTCGACTTTCCTTATGATGACTGGCGCCGGAGGATATAATCGCATCGCTTCTTTGATCACTGCATCCAAGTACAGAAGACGATGGATGTCTTCCACTTCGGGCGGCCTCTCTGAGTCACCGAACAATTCCTGGATCCTAAAATACAATTTTAGAGTAGGAATAAGGGAGACAGGAAAAATGTGCGAGTATCAACTTTTTTTTCCCTATCTATGCTGATAGCCTTGGGCTATATCAGCTTCGCCCTAACGTGTAGATGAGCTCACGGGACTTAAACCGGAGTGGTGCTAACACTGGCCCTAGCAAGAGCAGCGCTTCGCAGAGTCTACCACTGGATCGGAAACGCGACCCCTTGAGAAGAGAGAGAAACTCAGTGGGCTGTGAGTTAATTCGAGCGTTAAGCCTTTCGTCGCAAGCGACGGGTTCGACGAGGACGGTGACCGGAGTATCAACCAATAGATGGTGGGAAGTATTGATACCTCTAGTAGGTCAGGATACTTTTCTTGCAATAAATTTAGTCATTAAAAAACATGTGTGTAGCTTACACGCAAACAAAGTGAAACCTTCAGAAATATTCTATCTCATTCCCGCACAGGGAAATAAATATACAAGTTTGTCTTTTTTTAGTAGCGCTTTTTCGTTTCCTTGCGTTTCTAATCACAACCGTGTTTATTAAATTTTCACTTCAAAGATCTTCAAAAGACACTTACTCCTGGTAGACTTTCTCTTGTACATCAGGATATCGGGCCAGCATGAGTAACGTGAAGGATATACCGATGGCCGAAGTATCGGTGCCGGCGATGATCATAACGAACGCTTCTTCTTGAAGTTCCACGTCGTTGAAAGTTTTATTTAAAATTAAAAGTTCTAGGACCGTTTTCATTCCATTGTCACTTGTGGGTACTGTTGATAACAGGGGGTTCTATATTACAATATGAACTGTGTGTACGATTTTCAACTATTAATGAAATTATTGACGTATCATCGTGATGCGTCACAGGCGACGGTTACAAGTTAATTACCTCAGAAATTATTGTTCTAACAAAATTATTGACGGACCGGTCACGTCATCATTATTTAAAAGCTTTTTTAAAAAAAAAATTGTTGATTTTTCGCCATAGGGAAATAATTGTTGTGCGCCATTGTTAAACAATTATCAACAGTTACAAGTTTTTATCACCATTTTCAATTTTGTCGACACACTTCTAGTATTTTACTGGTGGTAGGACCTCTTGTGAGTCCGCGCGGGTAGGTACCACCACCCTGCCTATTTCTGCCGTGAAGCAGTAATGCGTTTCGGTTTGAAGGGTGGGGCAGCCGTTGTAACAAGACTGAGATCTTAGAACTTATATTTCAAGGTGGGTGGCGCATTTACGTTGTAGATGTCCATGGACTCCAGTAACCACTTAACAACAGGTGGGCTGTGAGCTCGTCCACCCATCTAAGCAATAAAGAAATAAATTCGGTAAAACGTTAAATACTTGCGCGTAAAAAGCAAAGGTAACTCATTAGTCACTTTTTAATACGAACTCACTTTGTTTGTCGCATTGGGTTTTGGAATCCGGTTCATTTTCAACTTGCCGACGTTTCGATTGCACTATCTATAAATAAAATGATGAATGTTAGCATAAGCGTTCTCGCTGGATCTTCTCAGTGCGTCGCGTTTCCGATCCGGTGGTAGATTCTGTGAAGCACTGCTCTTGTTAGGGCCAGTGCTTGCAACACCTTCAGTTTGAGCCCCGTGAGTTCACCTACATATTAGGGTGAAGCTGAAATAGCCTCTCAAGGCTATCAGCATAGGTAGGAAAAAAAAGCATAAGTGACTTCAAGCTTCGCAGTTCACGCTAAAATCTTCAGTTCAACGGACTGCTTCGTAGACCTTGTATACTTTCAAACAATATATAAGTGTATTTTGAAGGTTAATAAATACACTATTTTAACGTGCTCCTACTATCTTGGTATGTTTCAATGTTATCGAATCTTTGAACTTGATATTCGTTCACTTTAAAGTACCAGATTGGATTGAAACTTCGCATACTTATTAAGGACCGACCATAAAAGAAGAATACAATAAAATTTTGCGAATATCTATCGTCGGGATCGTCAGGAGTAACGATGGTCCGGAGGCACGTACACACCTGTCGCCTTCTTTGGATACGATAATTTCTCAAGCTCCTTCACCGAACCCTAATTCCTCGTTAAAACTCAGGTAGTCACGGAACTCATCTTAGAAGGTCAGGTATAGAGGAACTCGATTACTCAAAGTTGACAAGGAGAGTCTCATGTAATGGTGATGCATTGGATAAAATGCTTAGATTACGAAATACATAATTCAACAACCTAATAACCGGGTTCCACATTAGATACGCTAAAAAGCCGATTCTTCTTTATTACGAAATTATAATGCTTAAAGAATAAATAAGCAAAAATTCATAATAGTTTAAAACAATAAAAAATAATCGTTTATTTTTTTGTTTTGTGAGCTATAAAGCGTGTTCGCTTTAGGTATAGCTAGCTGAACGAAAACGTAGAAAATAATTATTTTAAAGTGAGAAAAAGCGTAAAGCGGCTTTTAAACTATTTTATAATCATTGGACTTTTAGCAATATCATTCAAAAAACAATTATAACTATTGATATTTAGTGCCCCGCGCATTTTAACGATAAATAATTTGTTTTCTCAATCAATAGTATTTGTTTGAGTCTATGGTAAGGCTTTTATAAACAAAAAATACTAACCTGCTTAACAAAATCGAGGACATACTCTGTATTCTTCTGGTAAGTCTTATAGCGTTGCAGTCTATGATAGATTATGTCGCTATGAAGCCATGGCTGGCAAATACGAGCGGCTCCCAACGAGGAGCATACGTCAAACGACCTCAAGAACTCGAGATTGGAGTGGGCCTGGCTATTCATTTGTACACCGAGAGTCGCTTCTGTGAATCGAAATAATATTTGAAAAATTATATAATTATTTTTTTTCTGCCTAATCTGATAGATAGCCTTGAGAGGCTATGTCAGTTTGGCTGAACGAGTAATTGAGCTTACGGGGCTCAAGCCTGATGACGTTGCTAACACGAACCCTAGGAAGAGACGTGCTTCGCAGAATCTACCACCGGATCGGAAACGCGTCTCACTGAGAAAATCCGGCGAGAAACTCAGTAGGCTGTGTCTGTGGGTTAATTTACTCGCCGAGCCTTCGTGAGAACGATGACAGGTGCTAGAGGTACCTAAAAGCACCGTTAAATTTGAGTTTTCGACTCAAAGACAACAAAGACTGTAGAGATATTGTAACGTTTCTTTTGACAACAAAATGAATCGTGCTAAAAAGAATTGCAAGAAATCTGGTATTATAGAAAGATTTTCCATCGAGTGGGTGAAATTGTTCGGTGAATTGACGCGACACAGCGACGGTCCGAATGTCTGGAACTTATATACAAATATGGAAGCTGTATATATGTAAGCGAGATTCAGACATCTGTCAAATATCTTGTGTTGTGTCAAATGATGGCTACTGGCACATTGCTAAAATTTGATTTATTTTAATGAAATTTCACGTATGCTAAAATCGTAATAGACTTCAATTTGGCAGTAACCGTTTAAATTTATAGTTCGCTTTACTCATTTTTTAGGATTACGCATTCTCTGTTAGCGAATCGGCGTGCTGATGTTAAGGATAAAAGCTGATTACACTTGCTTAACATTCTGTCTGGCCGTTATGGACTTTAAACTTCAAGCCATCGTGGACGTAGGTACGTAAGCTTTAAGTTTTCTTCATAAACCGGATTATGTAAAAGTAAACAGTTGATTTGTTTGTATGTAAATAAAAAAAACCTCTGCTAATCCAGTATTTGACTTTTTTTTTTCCTACCTAAGCTGGTAGCCTAGAGAGGCTATTCCAGCGGAACCTTAACTAGTAGGTGAGTTCACGGGGCTCAAACCTGTCGACTATTTGACCTAAGCACTCACTCCGACTTACCACAAACCGAATCCAGGGTGTAAGCCGTGAGATAGTCCCAAACAGAGAATGTGCCATTATCTGCTTCCTTTCTGAGGTTGTCCACAAGCACAGCGCTCTGCTTTATAAAGGTCTTCATAAAGTTATTCTGGTTCTTCGTACCAAAATGAGGATTCAATAACTTGCGACGTCGATGCCAGATGTTAACTAAAACATTTATGAATTAAAAACATAAGTTTCATCTGTAGTATCCCGCAAACATATTGCAATAATCAATATTGTAATAGCATTAGAATATGAAGAATATAGCGGTTTGTTTTATTATTTCATTGAATTTAAGATATTTATGAAGGTAAAGGAGTGTTAAGGAGCTTACTGTAGCAAATGGCACCAATTTGGTCGCGCTCCGTAACCACGAGGGCGGACCTATAGGGAATCTTGATTGGTGTCAAACAAGATGAAATGGAATCACTTTCTTGTGAGTCCACACGGGTGACCCTTTTTTTTTTTTTTTTTTTTTTTTTTTNCGGCCATGGGCTCTCCTTCGGAGGAGTCGAGCGGGGCGGGACTCGTCGGCCGCTTGACCGTCTTCCGCTTCCGTTGAATCCTCCCTGCTTCTTTCTCCCCTTTTCCGGCGCTGCCTAAAGTTAACAGCCGCGGCGAATCTCGACCACTCGACACGCAACCCCTCGCGGAGCTTCGTGTCGAGCGCAGTGAGACCACGCTGTCGCAGCGCACACGGGTGACCCTGCCTTATCTGCCGTGAAGCAGTAATGCGTTTCATATAAAGTATAACGCCTCTCTCATCCTCCAAACGAGAACAGGAATGAAATAGCGGCAGAAAAGGCGGGATAGCACCCGTGAATTCACATCACATCGTTAGTAAACACCTGTGTTACTTCGCTCGGTGTGGTACTTTTCTTGGTCACGGAACAATCTCGCTATCTCATAATCTGTTCATGAACAACAGCAACAGTACTATCTAAGAAATAACAAACAACTTCCTGGTTAAGGACCTCTTGTAAGTCCGCACTGGTAGGAGCCACCACCCCGCCTATTTCTGCCGTGAAGCAGTAATGCGTTTCGGTTTGAAGGGTGGGACAGCCGTTGCAACTATACTGACACCTTAGAACTCATATTTCAAGGTGGGGGCGGCATTTACATTATAGATGTCCATGGGCCCCGGTAGGTAACCACTTAACACCAGGTGGGCTCTGAGCCTGTCCACTCATCTATGCATTAAAAATAAAAAAATTAAACTTAATTATTTGAAATAAATGAGGATGAACAAACCAAGCTACTTCACAAATTTTAGTTTAACATTCAAACCTGGAGCAAAAATGCTTCCGTTGCCGGTCAGGATTCGGGAGAATTTCATTAAGTCGTCTTTCTCAAGACAGTTTTTCAGAATTACATCTAATTCTACCGGATCCACTGAAACTGAAATGTAGGTACATATCATTTTTACGATCACTGATTTCACAGCAACACGTACTGTAGCAGATTTGCCACGTGTGATTTATGGCCTGACCCACAACTTGCGGTAACACTCCCTTGAACTACATGACTCGGTAAAGTTAGCGCTAACTTATGGTAGGGTCATTACTGCGTAGTAATCAATGACAGGAAAACCAATTTGATAGTTAACAAAACATTAACAAGTGCACCACATCACGCATTAGGTCCTAAGGCGGATGGCAGTATTCACCAGTGATCACAGGGTGACGTATATGGGTTCCGGAAGCTGCCTCACTCCAGGTGGAGTGTGAGCTTGGTAGGTTCTTGAAGCCGCTTCAATCCGGGTCCGATACAATAAAAAAGAATGTGAGCCGTGACGGGACGCCTGGCAGATGTGAAACATCGACATTATTTTGTAAAAGTAATATGCAGAAAAGAACAGATTGTGATAGGAACTAAATATGTCATAATGGTAAAACAAAATATTACGAAAAAATAAATTTAAATGGCGACGCGTCGGCACGGCATTCGTCGCCACGCCAGAAATCGGTTTTACGTGCGGCTATAGATGTTTCACATCAACATAGTAGTGTAGAATAGCCGGTGTTTTAAAATAGTTCCAGAAAAGAGAACCAGGTCACGGTAGTCATGGAGTGACCAGAACAAGTCTACTTTCAGTAAAATAGGAGCATATGCCCAGATGCTATGAGGTAAATGTCATTTGTCCCTAAAAATATGTCATGTCGTCAAGATAAACGTTGCACAATTGACTGACTAAGTTATCTCAATTTACTACTGCATGTGTATTTCTTTTATGCCCTCCAAAGGTGATTTTTAGCGTTGAGCGACGTAGTCCGAGTCAGCAGAACTTGGTTTGGAGTTTATGAATAAACTATTTCACTGAGCCAAAGGAGTTTTAGTGATATTCAGCTTACCAACAAACAATCTATTCCCATGCCAATAGCACGACATGCCGCCACGTTTGATGGCATCGTTGCCGATCATCTGAAACCCTTTCATTCTGTCTGTGACAAAAAAAATAATATTTCAGAATGGTTGTATTATTACAAAAAAACTACAAAATTTAAACACCCGGAATTCTAATACAATTGAGCCTTTGAACTCATGTCAAGGCAATTGGAGGCACTAATATAATACTGCCCATGAATTTGAACTTAGTAGCAACTTGACCACAAGGACCGTGCATCGCGTCTGATTCCAGCATTGACTGCGGTAACCCATTCTGCCTCCAAGGATTTGTATCGGGCGAGGATTGGACGTTCGGGCAAGAGGGCAGGAGAGTCGTTTAGTGTGTGACAATTAACATCTTGGCTCCTTGCGTCGTGTTCCTCACTGCTGAGGGTCGTGACCACCCTTTTGTATCACCTCCGCACGCACGATCTTTCTCCATCTATTTTTGTCTATGGCGGTGTGGAGGGCGTTGTGAAATGTAAAATCAAGAGCGGTGCGGATCGTGTCGAACCCACGTATTGGGCTGCGCCCCCGAGGTCTTTTCCCATCTATCTTACGTCACGATGAGCATCTCGAGATTGCTATCATCCTTCCATGCATCTTTATCTTGGCAGTATAATATAAACCACCCTTGGAAGTTCGGGGAATAATTAGCTTTATGGTTTTTAGCATCTGTTCTCTAAAATACTATCGACAACAGACGAATAAGGTCGAATTACCAGGATTTCGAACAAAATAATACAATTTGTGTTTGGATAGAATGATATTATTACTAATGTTCTATTTCATTTAAAAGTTGTATTTAAGAGGTCGAGTTTTAAAGCCAAGAAAAAGACAAAAACACAATTTAGATTTGTGGTACCGGCCCAAAGTACGATTGTCCCATCTCCATACGGGTGGATTGACCACCAACTCCTTTTTTATGGGACCATTGTTATGCCATCAAATGCAGATTTCGTGTATCTCAAGGGACTCGCTTGATCATAGACAGTATTTTAATAAATAACATTCGGTATTTAATTGAACAATACTTACCTTCATCATTTCCTAGTAATAAATAAGTGTGGCCTACCAAAGGCATTTTTTTAAATCCCGAACCAATTTCTTTGTATACTTTCATGATATTTTTGTTACTTCTTCTGCTTAACCACAATAAGAATAAAACTACTAGCAAAAGTAAGTTCCATATCATTTTGAATACGTATTAAATCGATGCGTCTTACTACTTACTATTTTGATCTAAGAAATAAAATTCTGAAGTATATTCTGCATATTTATACGTGTGTCTATTTCTAATGTAGCCCGAGAGCTGACATCTTTTAGTAAATATAATAAATTTAAAACACGTTTTAGGAAATTTTGCATGTTCTTTAGAAGACGCTATTCCTACTAATTATACCACACACTTAAGTATCGGAGGGAGGACACTGAAAAAAAAACTAAAAAAAACTCATCTGTGTATTTTTGTAAAACAAGTTTAAGTATGAGACCAAAATATTTGATTATCCTATAAGTACTGAGCGCATTGAGTGAGTACTACGAATCAACGTAGGTGTGCATTCGTAGCCTTCAATTTCAATCAAGTATTTTGTACAGCGAACAGCTATATTGCGAAAAGGGCTGCAATTATATCGAAGAAACGGTGGACTATAAACAACATGAGCCAAATATCCTTCTTTAAGAAGTTGAGGCAGCAATCAATAGGCTGAAGCAAAAAGCATGCGGGAGGGACAGCGTAACCGCTCTAATGTTAAAGAGCCTAGGCTCGGATGGTACCAAGATTATACACTCCATTTGCCAGAAAGTATGGCGTACTGGCCAGTGGCCTGAAGACTGGACGGAATCAATATTAATTCCTCTCCATAAAAAAGGGTCCACGCGGAAATGTAAGAACTACAGGACTATCTCCATAATCTCGCATGCCAGTAAAATTCTCCTACATATTATCAATAAAAGACTGGAGGGTTTTATCGGTAGGCAAATCGCAAAGAGCAAGCGGGTTTTGTTAAGGGTCGAGGAACCAGAGAGCAGATCTTAAACTTGAGGCAGTTGATCGAAAAGGCAAGGGAGTTCAACGTCTCGATGGCTCTCTGCTTCATTGACTACGCCAAGGCTTTTGACTGCATCAACTGGAAGAAAATGTTCGACGTGATGCAAGAGATGGGAATACCGGACCACCTCGTCTCCGTTGTTCAGACTCTATATATGGATGGAATTACGAGAGTCAGAATGGACAATGAGTTTTCCCATCCATTTAAGCCCGAACGTGGAGTCAGACAGGGGTGTATTCTCTCCCCACAACTCTTAAACCTCATCGGTGAACACATTATGAGGCTCGTTCTGGAGAACTGGGAGGGGGGGTATTTGTGTAGGAGGCCACCGAATTAATAATCTTCGTTTCGCTGATGATACCACTATAATCGGTACCTCGGAACGAGAGCTGCATGAGCTTCTGAGGAGAGTGGAAGTCGTTAGCAAAGATTACGGACTTTGCATCAACCAATCCAAAACGAAATTAATGTTTGTCAATAGAGCTGGCACAATGACACGCACTCACGAACTGCGTGATCTGGACGTGGTGCAGGAAATTGTGTACTTGGGGTCATTAATATCCGGTGATTGTGACAGGGAAGTGGTCAGGAGGGCTCAGATGTCAAAATCAGCCGTGAAGCGATTGGAGAAGATTTGGAGAAATCGCAGCATAAACAAAAAAACTAAGATAAAGCTCATGAGAACCCTTAGCTTCTCCATATTCTTGTACGCTTCTGAGACGTGGACCCTCAAGGCCCGTACCCGATCGATAATTGACGCATTTGAAATGTGGTGTTGGCGCAAAATGTTGGGCATATCATAGACGGAGCGCCGAACAAATGTGTCAATTCTAGAGGAGCTAAACGTCAAGACCCGTTTATCTACAATCTGTATGCAGTGTTTCCTCAAGTACTTCAGACACGTGGCCCGACAAAATCCTGAGAACTTGCAAAAAATAATAGTTGTAGGTCACGTGGAAGGAAAGAGAAGTCGAGGAAGATTGCCAACCAGGTGGACGGGCATTGTCAAGGATGCCACAAACACCAGCGTCCAGGGCGCCATTAAGCAGGCCGAATACAGGCAACATTGGAGGAAGCTGGTGCAAAAACTGGACCAAGGTGGTCACGACCCTCAGTAATGAGGAAACGAGAAAGAAGAAGAAGATTTTGTTGAGAGCTCTCTATGTGCTCTTTTCCAGCAAGATTCAAGGAATCATTAAAATACTGCATGTGTACACGGTAGGAAAACTGTTATAGAATTTACTGCAATTTCGTGAATCATAGATATAATTAAAACAACTCCTTCCGTGGCCACGAAAACTGTAAAGTATCCGATACGTCGGAAATAATAGATATAAAATAAAAATTTATGTACATCTTAGTAGTTATAAACGTTAGCTAGCTCTTGAACTAATAATACGGCTGTGAAGTAAATGATTTTAATTTAGCTTTTAAGATTTTAAATACCAGTATTAATGGTATGTTTTGATCCCTTAAATTCTTAACCGCCTCAAATAAACGTATTTCTTTAACATTTCCTGTTTATTACTGTTTACTGTTTATTATCATTCATCATTTTAACCATTTATTACAGAATCGCAAGTCCGAAATATATTGGTTGAACCACATATCCTAGTTGTCTATTCTCGGCTTAGAATTGGAGCGACCCATATATTCAAGTGGGTGTCGTCACAAAGGTGACAATGCAACTTCTTCTGGCTTTTTTATTGCCCTTGTAGGCAGACGAGCATACGGTCCACCTGATGGTGAGTGGTCACCGTCGCCTATAGACTTCAGCAATGCCAGGGGCAGAGCCAAGCCACTGTCTACCGTTAAGTACTTTCCACAAGCCTCGTTTGAAGAAGGTTATGTCATAGTGCTCGAAAAACACCGTGGAGAGGAGCTCACACTAAAGCCGGATGGTACGTGGCAAAAAAGATCTCTGGAAACGCACTGTGGATGAACACAGTGGCTCCAGGTGGTATGGATGACTTACTCAGCTGGCGGGCGGGGCAATGGCAAAAACCTCTACCGTCTTGCTACATGGGTACACTGACAGTAAACGAGAGAAATGAGTACATTTCCAATAACGATGTGATTATATACAGATGGTGCTCTCCGGGGCCCGTGGATAGCTTTCTTATTCATCCCGCCACATTAATACAAAATGTGTTGTTTGATATAAATTTTATTCATATAATTCATGTAAGCTTCATATTATGGGTTTAAAATGACGCTCTATTTTATCGGCTCTATTTTCCGCGTGCCTTCATCGTGACAAATAATTTTAGTGATTTGCGTACGGATTATTCAACAAAACTAAATGAAAATGGAAAATACAAATAATAAAATAACAAAATCGATTCAGTTTAGGCGTGAAATTTGTGATATCAATCTTTTTTAATATAAATTCGCCCTGTTTTTCTTAGTTCCCTAACTAATCGTTGGCAGTCTTAAGTGGCTATTCCGGACGGGTAAGTGAGCTCACGGCCTCAACTCGAGAGAGTTGCTAACATTAGCCCTAGAGAGCAGGGCTTTGTTGAATCGAGTACTGGAACAGAATCGCGACCTACAGGGAAGATCCGGCAAGAAACTCAGTGGATTGTGTCTGTGAGCTAGGTTGAACGTTGAACTCCTCATCGTATTCGACAAGTTCGACGAGAACAGTAACCGGTGCTTGGAATCCCTACAAGTACCGAGAATGGATCGGGAGGATCCGATAGGCGGCAGCTCGATGACTTGGAGAGAATTAATGCGGGTGCGAACTCTTGAATTTAAAAAACTTCATTCATAACTTTGAGAACACTTGTTCGTCTTATTGTTCTATAAAAGACCATTACTTTATATTGCTTGAAGCAGAAAAAAAATGTTTTCAAAATATCTTTAAATCTTAATTATGAGTGAGTTTGACGTAAACAGAATGTTTACGAGATGTAGTTTTTTTAAGTATAAATTTATTGGAAGTCTGTTTTGATACAACACAGCAACTTTATCTTATCCGAGCGCTACTGGGCAATGCAAAGCCCGAAACATGTATTGTCGGATCCCCCGGATTCACTCACAAGCACCGGTCACCAACCTCGTAGAAGGAAGAGTTCGACGAGCGAACTGATCCTTAGATACAGCCCACTGAGTTTCTCGCCGGATCTTCTCAGTGAGCCACTTTTCCGATCCAGTGGTAGATTCCGCGAAGTACTGTTCTGGCTAAGGCCAGTTTCAGCAAATTCTCTCAGTTTGAGAGCGATTCGGTAGGGAAAAGTAAGGAACCTTATTTATTTAAAATAATATTATAGAAAATTTACATTGAAATTTATATTACTATATTAAATCATCATGAAACATTTAAAAAAATCACTTGTTTATTCTCGGATACTAATTCCGAGGATTCCGGATATTAATATATCCACGACTTCTTGTCATAGTAATTTACTTAGATTTCACAAAATTAACATAATTATTAGATTTAGATAGAATAGATTTAGATTTAGATAGATTAGATAGAATATTAGATTAAGTGGATGTCACTTACATTATCGCGAAGTATTGAAAAAGGATGCGTGCTTAAGATGACTGGACTTACCGATGTTTCTATGCTGTGAAATTCTAAGTAAATTACTATTACAAGAAGTCAAGAAGTCTAGTAATTATTACAGGAGACTGTCTATGATGAATGATGTGCAAGGGTTTTGCAATAGGGACGCTCGAACTTTGACAGCTCATAGCGGCTATCTTGATAAAACGACAGCTGTCAAATTTGGCATGAACACATATTTAGTCGTGACATTTCACCGTGGAATGCTACACGCTTGTCCGGCGGTATCATCGGCCCTTATTTCTTCGAAGATGTCCAAGGAGAAAAACAAGTTTTCTTGTTTTTGTCTTCATCGGACTTGATCCTTCGGACGCTCGCTGGCCGCTGCTACAAACCATACAATTTTCTTTTTTGTTTTTAGGGTAAAAGCATGTGTTTTTGGGGTAAAAGCCTATCTGAAATTTCATTCGTGTCATAAAAATCATTCGTAGCTGCTTATATGTTAAGCGAACATGTTCCTTCTTGACTTCATCCGTCGTCTCTCTAACAAGATTCTGGAAGTTGCATTGAAAAACATAATCTCAGTTGAAAGATCGTAGGGGTATGGGTCAAAAAATGAAGTCAAGCTTGAAGCTGCGGGTCCCAACCTTTTTTACTCTGCACGCATATTCTGCACAAATTCACGACATCCTTACACATACGTATGTATATCCAAAATGTTCTATATTATAGTTGCAGTGTCAATAGTATCGGTACATTCTCTAAATTATAGTTCATTATGCTATTAGACGTAATTGTACAATTATCATCTAGTAAACAGACATATTTTCCACATATCGAAAATTATCGTATTTGTAAATATTGATGAGAGGATATCGCGATACAACAATGTGGTTGAGAGCCGTTGGTCTAACGTTTAAGATGTCTCGTGTCGAGCGATGTTACTAAATATCTCCCAGCTTGTGCAAAGGCTTCTAATGAATGACGTACATAGCGTATGTTCACGAATGACTACCTCGACGAAGAGTATTTTCCTCGATTACATCGTGATATAAAAAAATTAATCGCGCTTAAATTATTTATATTTCTTATCACTTAGACGGGTGAACGAGCTCACGGTCCGCCAAATGTTAAGTGGCCTCTATGAGAACCGGTAAAAAGATCAAATTTGTCCAAGTTAACAAAAAAATATGAAATAAAAGTAATACATATTAGGTAACGATTTGATATTAATAACGCTCGTAATTTATATATTTTTATCTGACGTATTGCTTTATTAAACTCAAAGGGTTTTGCTAGCTTCACCGGGCGTGCAGACAACGAGCTCTGGTGGCTCAGTCTGGGACATTGCTAACATTGGCCCAGCAAGGACAGTGCTTCGTAGAATCTACAACCGGATCGGAAATAATCGGAATCGCTAATATCACATTGACGCAGTCACCGTTTTGTTTGTGTTTATTCTATGTTCTCGTGCTTACGTCATTTATTGCTAATTCTCCGTTGAATTCACACGAGTGCCTACAGTGTATTGAGAAAATGACTCGTGATATGTGTTTTTTAATATTCATTGTTTTAATCGGTCATTGTTTTGGAGGTAAGTTGTTCAATTCAATTAGTAAATTTTGAGTTAAGATCGTTGTCATTTAAAAAACTCAGTGGTACTGAGATCATTAACGCCTGGAGCCATTCAATTACTAAGCGATAGCCCGTTAATATTATCTGAGGTATTGTGTTATTTTGATGGTAATAACATGTGTGTCACGATACAACGAGATCTTCGATATAACGCTTCTAACACAAAATAGGCGTGGTATCCCGGAACACCAGCGGCACCGTATGGGCCGCCGTACCGCGAAGACTGTCGTCGTCGGTCTTCGTCGGTCTCCGGCGATCGTCTCGACGACCGACAGTCCGTCGGCTCGTCCCCGGCTTTCGCCGAATATATTGCGTACATTAATTAATTCATCTGGTTGGTTACGCAGCTCGGAAATGTTGTTTTTATTTAATTTATGAGTTTTTTTTTATGTAGTGGCCATATTCTTCGTTTGTATGGCCTAGATCCGTTTCTCTTCCAGTGAGAGTCGTAAAAGTCAGGTCAAGGATTTACCAAAAACTGGGAAGCACCTTTTATGAGTATCTTACCCGAGCAATGGGGTCACCGACTGCGATTTACTGGTAGTGCAGCGTTTTGTAAACTCGCAAGGGGAAGATACTGTGTTGATTATTTCTGGCGCAAACTAGTTATGCGTTCCGGTTGGAAGGTTGAGACAGCCGTTATATAATCAATGAAACTTCCACCTTATGTCTCAAGGTTGGTGAGGGTGTTGTTGTTGCGTGATTACCAGGTGGTCCATGTGCGCGTTCACATATCTACTCAAAAATAGGGTGTTAGGAGAATAACCTTTTTTATTTTCTTAACTATTCTAGTGACCCCGAGGTGTCATACTAGATTCACCAAACGAGTAAGTGCGCTGACGGAGTTCTAGCCCGGAGATGTTGCTAACACGAGCTCTAGCAAGAGCAGCGCTTCGCTGAATGGTGTACTAAAACAGAATCGCGATCCACTGAGAAGATCAAGGCGAGAAACTCAGTGGGTTGTGTCTAAGGGTTATAAGAATGACCCTTCTCGATCCCCCGCTTTTATAACTATCGCCGTAAACACTGATGATATTTGATTTAGCAATTGATAATGCAGCATTTTTGAGAATGAATATCACATCGAAAGTTTGTTGATCCATTCACAACATACCGATACAATTTGTTTCACAGATAAACAGTGCGGTCCTAGTGAACAGTTGAATACATGTCCGTCTGCTTGTACTACTGGCAGATGTCCTGAGAGCCATGACGAATTTAAAAACTGCTCCGATGCAGGCAAATGCCTCGAAAGCCGTTGCGACTGCCAATTCAACTATAGACGAGCGGCGAACAACACTTGTATACCCATAGCCAGTTGCCGTAAGTGCTTATTAAGCCCCGACAATGCCCACCACTAGGTTTGTTGCTTGGGAAATTTAGTGAGATTGTACTCCAGAGATTGAAAGCTAAGCTGCATGCTGCAGGCATGAGCTTTTAATAATGAGGTATTAGGCCAAAGCTGTACTGACAATGATCTTAAAAACTTTACCATTATCGGTTCTTATCGCAAAATAAAGATTTTGAAGCTGATGTACTAGTTATGTTGATCTATCCGTCGACACCTGGGGCTTAATGTGGCAGAATGTGGTAGATTTCAAAGTGCTCGTAGTTGATGACATATTATTTATTTACGTACATCGACTAACGATGATAAGTGAGACGTATCAGCTTTTTTTTTTTATTTATTTTTTATTGCCTTTGTAGGCAGACGAGCATACGGCCCACCTGATGGTGAGTGGTTACCGTCGCCCATGGACTTCAGCAATGCCAAGGGCAGAGCCAAGCCGCTGCCTACCGAAACTACTACAGCTGAACTACCTACAGCTGAACTTGTACACTACTAGACTGTGAAAGGTGTCACGTTAAAGCATAAGAACGAAGTTTCTTTTCCAACCTAAACGCAATTTTATTTTGATGACAGAAATATTCAGGATGGTGGTACCATCAGTAATTGTGATAAGAAAACAAGCCATGGACTCAGGGACGTCTTAAATTATGCTGGGGCCCTTGGGCACACAAGAATTTGAGGCCCTTTTGGAAAGTAAAAAAAGCGAATTATAATAACATTTTTTTACTGAGTATGACCATTTATTATAGGTAATCAAATACGGTATGATATAATATGTCATTAATGATATTAGAATGCTGCTGGTTTTTTGGTTACGATCACGATAACGGAAACCGAATACATGTGTGAGAGAAATTGTCGGTCCTTAGGGGCCCCCTGAGAATGGGGGCCCTGGGCACGGGCCCCGTGTGCCCTTATGGTAAAGACGGCATTGCATGGCCTGCAGACGAGGTGACCTTGGTTCCAAGTTTTAATTAGTAGCCGCGTAATATATTATCGTAAGATCTTCTGCCCTTTTGCCTGACAAGCTATTTTCCTCATAAATACATGTACAACAACAGGGTTATAACCTTCCCAGCGGCCCATGTGTTCATTTGTGGTTATTGGAGCTCATGAAATCGTGAAAATCGTCATCCATCAGAGGAACGGGAGTTTTAGTTAAATTGAAAAACAACTGTGTGACCCTTGTCCAAACATGACTATTCGCGGCAGAAATAGTCACGTAGTAGTTAGTAGGTAGCTTACATTATTTCTCTGGATAAGCAACTGCTTGGTTGTGCGGTGGTAACCACTTGTATTTGTATTTTATTCTTGTATTTGACCTTATACTAGTATGCATTCGAATGGGTACCCTATGTGGCGCTGTCAAGTAGGTAATTATGTCGATTTCTGTTACTAAGTGTGTGGATTGCCTAACTCAGCCGTTGTAACTATGGGCTCCAGTAACCACTTAACACCGGGTGGGCTGTAAGCTCGTCCACCCATTTAAGCAATAAAAAAAAGTAAATAATGTACCTGATATATGTATTCAATGAAACTAATTTTTTTCCAGCCAAATTTAATTGTACTGGAGCGAACGAAGAGTACGTGGCCTGTCCACCATACTGCCCCACAGACGACTGTTCCCAAGCCACTCCTGACGGTCACTGTCGTTATTTTTGGAGCATTCTATTTGTAGTGGAATGTAGACCTTCTTGTCGTTGCATTGAAGGCTTTTGGAGGAACAAGGGAGTTTGCGTTCCTTATAATAAGTGCCCTAAAACCTAAATTAAGTTTAATTAATGTTAATTCTTATAATTGTGTACATTTAGTGTCACTATTTATTTTATGTAGACCGACTAAATTACTTAAATTCTCAGATCTACATCTTATTTACCTACCGTCCTACCAAACACCAACAAATAACATTAGTTCTTCATTTTACTTTTATGTATGACAGAAAAAAACACATTAGAAACATATCTAAATTATGTTTATTATATCCCTTTTTGACTTGCCTTTTTGAATTATGGCAATTGGAGGGTTTGTCCATAATCGCCACGCTGGGCATGCGGGTTGGCGATCACAGGGTGTTGCTACTCGGGTAAACGCGTTCTGGAGTGGAGACCGCGAACTGGAAAACGTAGTGCAGGACGCCCTCAAGCTCGGTGGAGTGATGATCTGTACAGGGTGGCTGGCAGGAATTGGATGAGAGAAGCCGAGGATCGTGCTCAGTGGCAAACAATTGGAGAGGCCTATGTCCAGCAGTGGACTGCTATAGGCTGATGATGATATCCCTTTTTTATTGCCTTAGGCAGACGAGCATACGGCCCACCTGATGGTAAGTGGTTAGTAACAAAAATCGACAAAGTTACTTCAGAGCACCACGTAAGGCACCCGTGATTACATGGCAGTCAACGGGTTAAGAATTCAATTCTTTTAGAGAGCACGAAGACCAGTGTGCTTAGTGCGAGTTATTTAACGTTCTCGATAGCGTAAAAGTTAACTCATACTTGTATGGAATGGGAACGTTTGCGTACGTTTGCCGCTAGGGGCGCTGTTCCAACTGCATACAAATGTGAGTTAACTTTAACGCTATCGAGAATGTTAAATAACTCGCACTAAGCACACAGATCAGTTGTCATATATTTAGCCTTTCTAAGCAGGCGAGTATAAAATTCTACTGATAACGAACGGTTACCGTCGCCTATGCTATGCTATACATCAGCTACATTTCGTCGAGTCCGATTGTATACATCCTTTTTTTTTCTTATCCGTTGAGTATTTATGATTTTCGTTTCCACAATTCTCAAACATTGGGCCCAACAGAGCGCTCAGAATAATTTTTCAACACATTTTTACTAACTTCGAAGTATTTTTCATGTGCTCATACACTTGAACTGACTATTTGATTGTAAATTATTTGCATTACGTGTAACGTTTCAATGTTATTTTATTTGAATAATTATTATACGTAATACAACAGACATAAATTATAAAAATGTGTTTTTTTTTTAATGTAAATAATATCCATTCGGCGTTACTAATTGACTACCCATGAAAAATTCCAAAGTTTTTTTTTTCGGTATCAACAAACTTTAACTATAGATTTGCGGTGGCGCTTCAGGCGCTTGTAGATCATCTTCCTCATTTAATAATACTTTTATTTGAACCTTCTGGTAACTGACATTTAGTCTGTCATTTTACGCGGCAAGGCAGCAACAGATTGACATTTTAAATTATCATCATTTAGTCATTATGTTTCTCCTGCTACCAGTAGTTTCACGCTACCTGTAAAGCTGGCTGAGCCTTTGCTCTGGTTGAGCCTTTGCTCACCCACCTGTCCTGGTAGAACTGGGAAGGCTTCTGGGCCATCAGTAATCCTTCAATCCTAAAAAAAAGATACCTGTAAAACCAAAGTGTGCTTCAATTCCCTTGCCTGAACAGCACAGAGGTTAACCGATTAATGTTGCCGGTATTCGAAATTGTGACCGTTTAATATTTATTTAGTTCTTTTTTTTTTTTTATTGCTTGGATGGGTGGACGAGCTCACAGCCCACCTGGTGTTAAGTGGTGACTGGAGCCCATAGACATCTACAACGTAAATGCGCCACCCACCTTGATATATAAGTTCTAAGGTTACAACAAGTATAGTTACAACGGCTACCCCACCCTTCGAACCGAAACGCATTACTGCTTCACGGCGGAAATAGGCGGGGTGGTGGTACCTACCCGTGCGGACTCCCAAGAGGTCCTACCACCAGTGATAAATACTAATACGCGTTGGGATTTGGGATAAATAAAACTTCCATCAAAGTACAAATTAAAACTCTATTTAATTCTCAGAACACCTACAGAACGCATTACAATTCGTAATTCGCTTCTTCCACTTCGCTTCAGGTGATCCGTTCGCTGTTTCGCTTCGAGTAGATCTAGCATTCCTGACAGGTCGAGTCGTTTCGATATGTGTTTCCACTATTTGACGATAGATGGCGTTGCTCTTACCGGCGTAACAGTACTTAGCTGTTGTAATTCTGTGCTATTAATAAAAACTAATGGGTGAAACTGAGAGATCATAAATATGCTGGTAATATGGCGTATTTGGTATTGTCTTCCTTCTACGATAGAAGAGCTCTTGGCCATGTCGCGAAGTAATCATGTTGTTTATTTTAAAGGTGACAGAACTGCTATAGAATTTAATACTTCTTATTTGCTAATAAAGCGTCGACCTGTAAGTAACCTTTATTATCTAATATTAATATGCTCCTATTAGCTAGACGTACATGTGTACATAATATATCATTCTATCTGTGTAACGGAATGTGTCAAGGTAAGTTGAGCCATCAATTTAAAACTCAATTAACTTTATAGTTTCCACATATAAGAAAGACAATTCAATAATTTTATTACTTCAACCTAATATCTTTTGAAGGCATTATGACCTAAAAGATAAGACGCCCGTTTTAATTGTATCAAGCGATGCGACATCGCGACAGTGCCGGTGTTCGAATCCCGCAGACAAGTAACCGTTTTTCTAATGAAATACGTACTTGATGCATATTCACGATGAAGAAATAGCATAGTATAATCAAACCCGCAAAAAAATGTAATATGCGTAATTAGTAGACAATTGAAACAGATATCAATTCTCAATGTGGGTGGCGGAATTCACGTGTTGATTTGTCTATGGGTTCCGGCGACCACTTAACATCAGGAGGGGCGTGAGGTCGTTTACTCATGTAGACAATGAAAAAAAATCCTGACCAGGATGAGTAAGTAACATTAAAAAAACCTTCAATATCGATAAATATCTTCTTTTCAACTCGGTCTCTGAAGATAGTTAAAAAAATAAATCATACACGAAGCAATAAAAGTCACAGTAAGCACTAAACTACATAAATAAAACATAATGTATTTTATGAACAATTAAACGGGAATTAATTACGTTTTCGTTCACCTGAACAAAGAAATTTTTTAAAACTTTATCGGTACTTATTTGCGCGATACATTTTAAATACAAGTGCGCAACGCTGAATTGAACACAACTGAGAAACGTCTCGTTGAAATGGGACGTTTTCGTTTTATCGTATTGACTGCAGCGTGGCTCGTCGTCGCTAAAGCAGGTAAGTAAGCATTTCATTTTTACCATACGGGTCTCTAACACAGCGAGGCAACGGGTAATCGAGATTCAATCGTTCCACACGTTACAAATTCAAAGGCCCCAATTTCCTAACGTACCGATACGGAACACATACTTAATGTATTCAGACACTGAATACCATTCTAAAGTTACAGTAGCAAAGCACCTAGTACAATAAAAAATAGCTCCTGAGACCTTGCTTGCCCACCTGTCCTGGTGAAACTAGAAAGGCCTTAGGGACACTAGTAACCTTTCAAGTTGGTAGTTTCTTTTTCCTTGCCTTTTTTGATCCTTTCCGGTTTCACCAGGACAAGTGGGCGAGCAAAAGCTCAGCCAGAATTGGTAGGATTCACTAACAGCTGCTCGAGCGCCTCCAAAGGAGACCTAACGACTCAAGAGCAGCTACTTCGCAAATGAATCTACCACTGGATCGGAATCGCGACCTGCTGAGAAGGTCTGGTAGATTCTGCGAAGCACTGCTTTTGCTAGAGTTGGTGTTAGTAAATTCTCTCAGGTTGAGCCCGTGAGCTCCTCACCGGGCGTAGCTGGAATAGCCACTTAGACTACCAGCAAATAGGTAAGAAAAAAGTAAAAAAAATAGCAAAAATCATTTCCTATTTTATAAAAAATGAGGCATTAATCGTCGACATTACAATGATAAATCGCTCATTTCCAGGGTTATTACGTGATAAAACACGACATTACGTGAGTCATAGCAGCACAACAAATAATGCAAAAACAATGCAAATAAATATGTTTGTAATAAAACTAAATTTTCTCAATGACATCAAAGCCATAGTATAACGAACATAATTCTCAACTATGTATGTTTAACCCTTAAAGCACGAACCATCGGGAGATCGACTCTCTACTAATGTGTATAAAGTGTGGAGCGTCGGAATATCGACTATTGCGCAGTTTGATTACAGTTATCGTCCTGTACGGATGGTGATAAATATCCGTGTACGTTCGCTTTACGCCCTACGACAGTAACCTATTGTTTTCCATTCACTTTACGCTTTTTTTTTCCTGCTTATGCTGATAGCCTTGAGAGGCTATTTCAGCTTCACTCTAACGTGTAGGTGAGCTCACGAGGCTTAAACCGGAGTGTTGCTAACACTGGCCCTAGCAAGAACAGTGCTGCGCAGAATCTAACACCGGATCGGAAACGCGACCCACTGAGAAGATCCGGCGAGAAACTCAGTGGGCTGTGTCTATGAGTTAATTTACCTACTCGTCGAGACCTTCGTCGCAAGCGACGGGTTCGACGAGGACGATGACCGGTGCTTGTGGTACCTAAAAGCACCGTAAATGGATACCTAAAAGCACCGTTAAATATACATACTTTAGTAGTTTATTCCCGTTTCGGCACAGGGATCATTTCTGGACACCCTGAATGAGCACAGGTCACTGATTACGTTATTTCTCATTCGAAGATGCGACTGACGACGTCACTGAGCCTCCTTGTGCGGACAGCGAGATATTAGACAAGTGCCCCGTGGACTGTCCTTCTGATTACTGTCCAACGAGCCGATGCGATGACCAGTCAAGCTGTCCGGAGCCTGCGAGCGCCGACTGTCCAGCGCCAGCCTGCAAATGTAGATTTAACTACAGACGCGCAGCCAACGGAACGTGCATACCGACTAGAGAATGCCGTAAGCTCCAATCGTTCACTGTTTTACTGCTGGTAGAAGTTCCTGTGAGTCCGCACGGGTAGGTACCGCCAGCCTGTCTGTTTCAACCGTGAAGCAGTAATGCGTTTCGGTTTGAAGGATGGGGCCGCCGTTTTAACTATACTGAGACCTTAGAACTCATATCTCAAGGTGGGAGGCGGTATTTACATTAACACCAGGTGGGATGTGAGCTCGTCCACTCGTGTATCTAGAAAAGCATTACTGCTTCACGGCAGAAATAGGCAGGGTGAGGGTACCTACCCGTGCGAACTCACAAGACGTCCTACCACCGGTATACTCGTAGTTTCGCGTTTTGTTTTTGTGGAAATGATATTCTATTGTATATATTTCATGTTCGAATTCTGATTCGCAGCTCCCTTCGATTGTGACGGTGATAAT